AAGTTCAGTAGTTATACTTTGTTAAACTACTTTTTGCAGTTTGGTCTTGTGAGTTTTGGGACACGTCTCCAGGGCTTATTATAATATCCTGATAAAACCATCAGAAATTTAACTTCTACTTCATTCCATTCCTCCAAATGTTTATTTGTAAATTGGACAGTATTTCTATCACAGCAGTAGTGTATTAGTACTATAGAAAAAGTACTTATTTACTTCATACCACGACCTAATGTATACACAGCCAAAGAGAGGAAAAGTGAAAGCAAATAAAAAAAGTCATGTAAACACAGGGAGAAGTCAGCCAGTTCAACCGAGCCAGAGGAACGAAGGATTTTAATTTACATCACCCAGCGCTCAGCCATGGAAGAAGTACTCAAAACCTAAGTAAATTGTCCTTCATGAAGGTCTATGTTCAGACTGTTTCATGGGGCTGTTGGTTCACCTGTGGGATCACTGTGCTGCTACTAAACCTGGGCTCAGAAGCAGAACAGAATATGACAGAGGCACTGGACTTGCTTTATGACAAGCTTGTGAATCTGTATGTATGTGTGTAGAGACACAACATGTCGCTGCGTATCTGTCTTAATCTACATGTGTCCGTATGAACAGTGTTGAGCAGCAGGACACAGTTTGGCTGACTGATCTGTTCATCTGTGCTATATCGCCCTCTAACGGTTCCTTTCAGTCATTGTGTCCTCCACCACAGAAGAACATACACTCGGTGGCCAGTTTATTAGGAACACCTGTGTCGAACTATGTCACTCTGATCCAGCAGTCCTGCAGTATATCTGACTCTAACAGGTGTCTCTATTCTCCATGTACATTTTGCATGAATGTGCATTAGGCACCAGGTAGCCTGCAGCATATCTATCAGTGCAGACGCTTTTGTTTTATGTGTCTAGGTTTTGAGATGTCAGCAGTGAGAGTTGCTCCAGTACAACACAAATGATTGAGTTCCTGTTTGCTGAGCTCTAAACCCCAAAGCTGTGAAAAGGTTCATTTAAAAAATTCAACAGCAACATCTCTTTCAGAAACAGATTTATTGTGGACAAACAACAGACTCACTGTCAACAGATAAACATCTTCGCTCACTTTACTTTACTTTAATTTACTTCAGAGACAATACACATTAATCAGCATCACTGTAAATATGCCAGTGTTAGCCAGAAAGCTAGTTTTCAGCTGTTGTCCCTTGCAGTTTCAGCTGCTTGTGAATTTCAGCTGTGTGGCTTTGATGCTAATGTTTGTCAGTCCAGAATGAAACATCTTGACAGCTACCAGCTGGATTGTGATGACATGTGGTTCAGACATTGATGTTCCCCTCAGGATGAAGTGTAATACCTCTGCTGAGTCCCTTACTTTTCATCTAGAGGCACCAGCCGGTCGACAGTTCGACCCCCCACTTTACACACTCAGCCAGTAGCCTACTGTAGAGTGAAAATGATTAGGCGGTCAATCAATTAGTAAAGTGAGAGAAAATTAATTGGTAACCATGGTGATTTATTGTTAAAGTCACTGCTTTTCACCTCATATTCACTGGGTACCAGCTCCTCACATTTCTTGGGTATGTCCCCCCATGCAGCTTTGATTTTGCTGTGCTATGTATGCAATGTGATACCTTGTTAATGTTGACCATTTGATGTATTCCAGTTTGCTGTTAATAAGAATACTGAGGTATGATATTGTACTGTTATGTAAATATAAAGCTATTATTGTTTGTATTGGATGGTTTAAAAACTCTGCTGGCATCATGTGACTTCTTAACTGTAGGTGGTGCTGTTATCACCTAACTCAATAGAGTTCATGGTGTGTTCTTATGAACATCTGCTTGACAAAAACCATATTGGTGCAGACACTCTTCCTCTGTATTCTTTATATTTTGCCCTGCACCTGTGCAGAGTTTGGGGTGGATGCGCACACTTTTCACCTTTTGTGCAAAACAACAAAGTGTCACAGCCAAACACAGAAACACAGGTGGGGAGGCAGGGCAATAAAGTTAGATTAATAATGACAAAGAAAACCAGGGTTTACAGATCCAAAAGGTACAGGTGAGGCAAACTACAGAAGGTGTATGAAGGATGCGCAACAATCTGGCAGGGTGCTGGTGTAATGGGTTGGTTAAAATGTAAGTACTGAGGGAACTGTTGAGGAAACTGGGAACAGAGGAAGATCATGTGAGAGCGACTGGAGGGAAGGTCTGAGGTCATCTGGTGGTTGCATGGAGAATGGCAGGAAACAGGAAGAAAGGCCAAAATAAACAGAGCTGAGACACGAATCACGATAACAAGCAGAATTGGACCAAACCCATGTCCAAGAAATGTCAGTTTGACAGACATCACCTGTGCATCTAGTCACATCATCTGTGGCCCAAAATCACATGTCCTCAATGACCTTACAGTGTGTCCAGAACACACCCTCTTTCCTTAGAGCTTTAAGTGTGCAGCTGCCCATATGAAACTGCTGCCGTGTGCCACGTTTTCACCATCTGTCACTTCAGTCCCTTAAATGCCTGATTACAGTGTGACACAACAACCAAACATAGGAGTAGCTACAGTACCGGATGGCCCCAGGTAGCTGTGCTGCATAGGCCAAGTCTCTGCAGGCCCCCTCAGCTCTGCAGAGCATTTTAACATGTTTCAGTTTAGGTTCACCTTCGCTGCTCCAAGTGGATAAACATGTTTACAGTTTATGGCCCAGTAGTTCCTCCTGTAGGACTGTTAATAAAGAGAGATTTACTGGAAGTGAAAATAGCTGCTGCAGGAAGTCACTGACTGATCAGGAATGTAGTGCACAGTGGTGCAGAGTGTTCCTGATCTCTATCACTTAGACTCTCCCTTCCAAAATAAAATACACAAGGTTATTTTATTCACTTATATTTGTTTTAGGCAACTTTCTAGGAGGATAAAGCCACTGTCCACGACCTGATCAGCAGCAAACAGCAGACGGAGCCAGTCAGAGACCAGCTGGGGAGCACAGTGGAGCATTTGGCAGCTCCAGAGCCAGAGGTTTTCCCCATGAGGTGGTGGAGACCAAATCCAGAGCTAAAAGAATACTGGACTTCATCAGGTTAGAAGAAACATGACTGATGGGATGCTAAGCTTGCGTGTCTACTGGGTGTGTCTTTTAACATTTCTTTAATCAGGTTTTAGCTCAGTGGTGTGGTATCAGTGTTAACAGCTCTGGATCTGCACTGAGTAGCTGTAAATTTAAAGAGAGATGTGACTGACTGAGGCAGCTTCAGTGTGAGACATTCATAACCTGAAATGACCAGAAAATCTTTATCACACGACAAAGTCAGAGTTCTGTTCCTCTGTCCCCAAATGCAAATAATAAAAGCAGCGAAAAGAAAAGCTGCTCTTTTCCAAAAGTGTTGTGTTAGTCCAGTAGAGACTAACTGTGAAAAAAGGAGACGAAAAGAAACACACTTGTCCATGTATAACTGATCCATAATGATGTTTTAATGATTAGTAAGGCCATTAGTTACAGCTTATCAACATTTAAATGTAGTTCATTAACGTGCCCATTTCTGCCAGATATAATAATAGAGTAGCCTATAAATTGAAATACTCAAGTACAGTGCAAATACATGAACACTGTACTGAAGTACAGCAGTTTATATTAGTTCCCACCACAGGCTGTGTGCCGTGCATTTATTTATTGACTGTTCTTGTGAGTTCTGGGACGCATCTCAACAGGTGTATTCACCTGTCAGTACTTTGTATGAAACAGCAAAAAATGTAAATGCTTAGATGAAGTGCCTCAGAATGGTACTTGAGTGCAGTATTTTGTTTTGCATGTAAAATCCTAAACTGAAAAATAGCTGTTAGTATCATATAGTGGAGCACAAAATGCAGCATTGCCCCTCTGAAATATACAGTAGCTAGTGGAGTAGAATGCAAATACTAAGTACAGTATCCTGCAAGTTCAATAGTTTAAAAAGTACTTGGATGGGCCTGGCTGGTTGAAGTGATTGTTAACAATTCTTGTCAAAGAGTCAATCAGATGACTTGAAAAGGACACAAAACAACCACAAATATGCACAAAACCTCTACAAAGACACATAAAATGACAAATAGGGTAGAGTGACTGTAAAGACATGCAAAATGATGACAAAGACTCAAAACAATTGCAAATGGATGCAAAATAATAACAGAATTCAAAGATACTCTTGCTCCATTGTTGAAGGGGTGGGGACCTTTTACATATTAGTGCCCAGGGACCAATGGTCTCATGATCCATCCATGAGTATGTTAGATTTTACAAGTACGTGTACTTAGTTGCTTTAAATAACTTTTTGCTGTTTACTTTCGTGAATTTTATGACATATCTCATGGCATAAATTGATAAAATAGCCATAAATTTGACTTCTACTTCGTCACATTCCTGCAGTTATTTATACGTAAGGTAAACACCCTGAAGTCACCGAGGCACACAGTAACTCTAGTAGAAACAGTGGAGAGGGAGAGAAGGCCGCGCCACTTTTCCATCCCGACAAAGTGCAACAATCCGGCAGCTCCAGCAGCGAGCAGCCGAACATGGAGCCCTATCGGCGGCAGACGGCGCGGGGACGGGCCGGAGAGACACATGACGTACGGAGGCTGCTGCAGACTCAGACACTCAGTCATACAAAAAACAGCTAACTACTCCTCTGCTGCTGAGTCGTGTGCACGGTGTGAGTATGCGCGTGTGAGCGTGTGTGCGTGTGTGCTGACTTTCTCTCCATAGAGTTTCACTGAGTTTACATCCGGGTTTTTTCCCTAGGCAATGGGAGTCGCAGCACCGCCGTTCCTTAGGCAAAGTGAAATAAATTCGCCGCACCGACACAAAAAAGTAGTCCGCTTTTCGAACACATTTTCCCCTCACACCACCTCGCTGATCGGGTCGATTTAACCAACTTTAACAACAGCACATGCAAATATCAAACGCTTTGTCGAGGATTAATGAGCATTAGCTGGGCGTATAAGTAGTTTTTGTCCCCCTTCCTCCAGCTCCGGAGCGCAGGGATCTATGCTGTGCTGAGGCTGAGCTGAATGAGATTGAAGAAGAGTTCTTCTTGTTTTGTAGCTTCAGTTTCTCTGTTTTTACACAAATTTTACTAAAACTCATTATAAAATACAGCAACAAAATAAAGCTCTGCGGGAAGGAGTCAACCGGACTGTTTATATGCTGTTATTCCATCGTGGATCGGCTTCTTATAGATATATATTTAATTAATCTAGAGGAGGACTGCTGCTGAGTAAGTGCACATTGGGGCTTTTTAATTTCATAACTTTAATTTTATCTCTTGTCAAACTTTACCTGTCGCCTGCTCTCCGCCTGTATCCGTGTGTTTGTGGGGGTTTGTGTGCAAGTGTGTGAGCTGGTAGGCGGCGTTTGTCTGCATTCAGCGGTGTTCCTGTGTGTTTCTGTGTATTTAGCTGGTGTGTTTCTTATTCTAGGAGTTGATATTGTGGAGGACAAGGGGCCGATATAACTTAGACCCACCAACGCCTGCTCAGTGTCATAATTCTTGAAAGATGGCGTCTTTATCTCATCTCCTCTTATTTATTTCCTCTTATTTCTTTATCTCCTCTCTGTCTTTCTCCCACATCGCCGCCCACGACGTTATTATTTACCTTTGGTGTAAGTTATCAGCGTGGCTGTTAGCTAGTGCGGCTAACGAGATGGTTAGCATTAGCGGCTACTAGCTAACGTTATCCACTTGTTCTCGGTAACATTTCACAGCCTCACACGGAGCAATGTCGGATGTGTGAGGATGATTTTACCAACACTCGGGACCCCGAAAACCCCGAAATCCTCGCAGTTTAGCGGGGATGTGCCGAAGCAGGTCCGATGGGTTTAAAAGGTGAACGTTCAGGCGGCCCTAGTGGTTTAATAGGAAGGTTATAAAGCATTTATTTGGCCGCCGAAACAAAAAAGCACTTTTTCAGTATTTGAACTCCCGCAGCAGAAGCACTTAACGGCTTTCATCTTGAAAACCTCCATTTTAGCTTCATTTCTTCCCTTTTCGGGCCTCTGCTACGGCATGATGGAAGTTTATCCAGACAAGTTCATGTCCCACCCAGGGAGCAATTACTTCAATTAACCAGCAGCCTTCACATACTACTGCGAAGTACTTTTACTCGAGTACTGCACCTGTACTTCACAGGAGTATTTACATTTTCTCTGGCTTTACACTTCTGCTCCACTGTATTTCCGAGGCAACATTTTACTTTTTACTGCACCATCTTTTGTCTGACAGCTATAGTTACTCAGCTTTATAGTAATTCAGTTAATTGTATATAATGGTATTTGTGCAATAGTACAGCAGCTCAGCTTTGAGGTACTTGGTGGTGGAAGAAGTATTCAGGTCTGATGGAAGAAGTATTGAGATCTTGTGGAAGTTTATCCGGAAAAGTTCATGTCCCACTCAGGAAGCAATTACTTCAATTAACCAGCAGCATTTTATACTACAGCTAAATACTGTTACTCAAGTACTGTATGTGTACTTTGAGTATTTACATTTTCTGCTACTGTATTCTTCTACTCCACTACATTTCAGAGGGAAATCTACTTTTTACTGCACAATATTTAATAATAATTTAGTTAATTGTAATTATAATAGTAATAGTAAAATCGTACACTGCCAGTAGTACAGTTTTAAGGCACTCTGTGGTGGAACAAGTATTCTGATGGAAGTTTATCCAGACATGCTCATGTGGTAATTACTTCAGTTTACCAGTAACCTTCCCTTACTACTGCTTACTAAGTACCTTTACTCAAGTATTGTACTTGAGTAAAATGTTTTGGCATGCTGTTGAATAATGTAAGTCTTATGATACTTCTATTGTACCTTTTACTCCACTGCATTCATCTGACAGCTTGAGGACTTGTGCTTGTATTGAAGTATTTCTGTATAGCTGCATTGGTACTTTGACTGAAGGAAAGGTTTTGAGTACTTCTTCCATGGCTGAGCGCTGGGTGATGTAAATTAAAATCCTTCGTTCCTCTGGCTCGGTTGAACTGGCTGACTTCTCCCTGTGTTTACATGACTTTTTTTATTTGCTTTCACTTTTCCTCTCTTTGGCTGTGTATACATTAGGTCGTGGTATGAAGTAAATAAGTACTTTTTCTATAGTACTAATACACTACTGCTGTGATAGAAATACTGTCCAATTTACAAATAAACATTTGGAGGAATGGAATGAAGTAGAAGTTAAATTTCTGATGGTTTTATCAGGATATTATAATAAGCCCTGGAGACGTGTCCCAAAACTCACAAGACCAAACTGCAAAAAGTAGTTTAACAAAGTATAACTACTGAACTTGCACTTTACTTAGTTCTCCTATTTCCTACTTCTCCTCCACTACATTTCAGAGGGAAATACTGCACTTTGTGCTCCACTATATGACACTAATAGCTATTTTTCAGTTTAGGATTTTACATGCAAAGCAAAGTACTGCACTCAAATCCCACTGTGTGGTACTTCCTTTGAGCATTTCCTTTTTCTGCTGTTTCATACTTGTACACCACTGCACATCAAATGAAAGTATTGACCAGCTCTGATAAAGTTCCTGGCTCAGTGAATTCAGAGTGCCGACCTTACAAATGCATCACATCAGCGGAGGAACGTAACTAGAGGTAAATGTTTTATCATCGCGTATCAAAATACACCTGTTGAGGTGCGTCCCAGAACTCATAAGAACAGTCAGAAAATAAACGCACCCACACAGCCTGTGGTGGGAACTAACATAGTACATTTAGTAAAAACAGACCGTACTTGTACTTTACAGGAATATTATGTTCCTTTATACTTTTACTTCACGGTCAGAGGGAAATGCTGTACTTTTTTCAGAACCAGCTTTATCGGCCAGGTGTGTTGAGCGGATGAGGAATTTGACGCTGGTACAGCGTCTCTCTGTGTGTATGTACTGCATTCTTCTGTAAGGCAACATGTAAACAAGACAGAGAAAAATAAAAGAAAAACAATGAATAAACAAGAAAAATGAATGTGCATTAGGGAAATAAAAATAAAGTACTTCTAAATATAAGATATATGTGTATATACACACAGTTTAGATGTAAGTTTTAGGATACCTATATACCAAGATGTATGTATGTATGTGATCAGTTACTAATTCAGAAAAATAAATCTGTTTTAAAGCTGTTGAATAAATTTGTTATTCTTAAGAGATCTTTTATCCTAAAAGGGTTCAATGAGGAAAAAGCCTGTAGAATTCAGTTGACTGTATTTGTTCTTGAATCACCGGATTTTATTTTAGTACAGCTGAAGCTTGAGTTGATGATGGATGTGTTCAGCTGTAACACAGATGGACCTTAATGCAAATTACTGTGTTGTTAATGAATGTGAGGTGAATATACTGTACTCTTTGGAATTGAGTGCAGCATTTGTTGACTTGTGTTGAAACATGGGTCTTGAAGATTTTCACAAAGATGAAATTATGTATATATTTAACAAACAACACTCAGATTTATGATTTTCCTCTTGAAGCGTTTTAACTAAGAGAAATGGTTTTTGAAATAGTATTTCTGAACAAAAGGATGCTTGTGGTGATTTATGTAGAGGGTGTGATTTATTAGACATTATATTACATAAAAATTAATTAAACCAATCTGAAACATAAGGCTTCATACTGAGATAACACTGTGACATACTGTATAACCATCAAACTTTATTTATATAGCACATTTCCTTTAGGTTAGATGACTGACAGGCTCATAATATGAGGACACAGTCAGAGACTACTGCATGCAAACACCATAAAAAGACAAAATCAGTGAATAAAGCCACAAATACAATAAAATAAAAATAAATAATGGCCATAAAGTACTGTAATCCAACACCAGGAGACAGTTTAAGGAGGAGACTGAGGAGACAGCAGAACATGTTTATGTTATGTTGGTGTTTTGATTCAGAGATTCTCACAGCGCATAAACAATAAACAAAGGTTTAATAAAGAGTTAGTATAAAGATAACCTGGAGATAATTTCACTTAACAGTCAGATTAGACATTGTTACTTATGTTTTCTTGCGACTGTAAAATGGTTTATGTTTGTTCTAAAACTGATTATCACAGGGTGCGTTTGTTGTTTTACAGGGCAGCACAGAGGGGTGGAGTCCAGTCCCACATCCAGGTGGTGAGTGCTCAAGCCTGATTCACTAAAATAAAAACCATAGGCTAAAGTTTTATTATCAAGTTTTTACTAACGAGCAGGTGGAGCCTGTTTCACTTCCATGGTTAATGTAAGAAAAGTAACAGTCAACCTGCTCGTGTTGCCTGGAACTTGTTTGTTTTAATGATAGATTTGCACATAATCTGTATTAACAAGATGCCGTTCACTATTTTCAGTTTGAAGTTACACTGGAGCCTTTAAATAAACATTTTAAAATGAAATGTGAAATGATGATAAATTACATTTACTATTTTCTTAGTAAATGTAAGAAAAATTGTAACTTGTTTCAGTTTGTAATGACAATGTTATGTTTTCATTTAACAAAAAATGACTTTTCAACTGTTTAAAGTTCATAATAATGAATATTTGGATACAAAGTAACTTTTATTTTGAGATTAATTCACCTCTTAGTAAAAGCTTGGTTCAGATAATGGTGTATTTTCATTGGATTGTTAAGTAAAAATACAGTTACAGTGTTTCATCAAAAATAAAGTAATAAAATAATATTTAGGTTCCTTATGAGGCATTTTATTTTACTGGCATATATTCACCTATGAGTAAAGACCCAAAAATGTATATCTCACGTGGTATTAAAAGTATTTTCATAATTAATAAAAGACATATTTACATTGTGAATAATCATGAAATAAGTGAACATTAACAAAATAATTCATTTTATTTTAAAGGGTCATGCACCTAATATGTAAAGTTAATTGGGACTTGTTCCAGTTGATCATATTTGCAGTAATAAAGTATTTATAACCCTATATAAAGTAAAAAACATGACCTGTTGTAAGTATAAAAGTAATAATGAAGTAAACCAATGTAAAGTCAATAATAATAATACAAATATTAAACATGTTCTAGTAACTGGCCTGTCAGAAAACCCTGTGTCATTTAGTGAAAATGTGAAGATAAATGCTGTTTAATGTCAGAAATAAAGCTGAGTAACTAAACGACACTAAAGCAAACATAATCTGATTACTTTTATTACTATAATTGTTACATCAGATTTAGTTTGAGTTAGTTTGTCCCATTTTTAGTACAAAAAAAATTTAAATGCGTTATTAATTTAATAGTTAAACATTTTTACAACATTCAGAAATATAAACTGTACTTACATGTAAGTGTAAGTGACATTTAATATGTTTTGATGATAAAGTTATTTAATCTTCGAGAAAAGTAACTGGTAATTTAGTGGAATTTGACTTCTGTATAACAAAGTTTTAATTATCCTGCACTGCATTGATAATAATGATGATAAATTACTTGCAACCTGTTTAATAATACAGCAACATATAATCTGCATTAGCTCACTAATAAGAATAATAACAGCTCTGTGTTTCATGCTTCACTCTGGTTAAGTTACATGTAACCTCTTTAGTTATGATGGAAAGGTTCTGGTTCTTTAACTTCTTCTCTAAATGTGTTTTGTTTTGTTTTGTTCCCAGCGGCACTTTAATGCTTCAGTTGGATGGTTTTCCTACTGGAGACAGTGTTAAGGTAAAGCCCAGTTTTACTCTGTTAACTGCAGTTCGTAGTACTTGTATGTACTTTGTGTCCAGTCTAACCATACAGCAGTGATGATGACTTCCTGTGACCTTGTTTGACCTTGACAGACAAGTGTCGGCATCACACAGGAGGCCTGTACCTCACGTTGCTATGACAACTTATCACTGTGCCGTAGACTTCCACTGTTGTCCATCAGTTATTAGACACCCCCCCCAGTGACCCACACCCCTGCATTGGGGGGGCAGGTTCCCTCCTCAGGAAACATAGGGTGCTGTCTGTTTACAACTCACAGCTCCAACACGTCGCTCTGTGCAGGAGCTGGTGGAGCAGCGTGACCAGAGCAGAGACCAGTGGCTCTGTCTCACTGCAGACCCTGTACAGAGTGACACCGCTCTCAGCCTGTGGAGCTAAGAACAGCCATCACTGGATCCTTAGGGCTAGCTTAGGATAAGGCACTAGGAAATGAATGTGAGTCGATGTAATGTCCTTTGAAGTGATGGAAACATGACTGTTTGTGTGCCCAGGCTGATCGATCGGCTGGCAGACTGACTGGATCCATGATGGAATTACAGACATTACAGGAGGCTTTGAAGGTGGAGATCCAGATCCATCAGGTAGGCTGAGCTTCCTGGAGTACTGGGAAAATCTGAGTGAGGCCCACCGGTCACTGTGTTATGTCAGTGTCCTAACTGTTGTAGCTCTGAAATACTCAGGGGGCCACACCTGTTGGATGGGAGGAGTCGGGCCGATGGTGATCACCAAAACACTGACCTAACATACATTATACTGACCTTATGTATATGGAAAGCACATGGGTCATGTTTCATTTCTGTGTCCTTGCGTTTGGTGTTTTATACCAGTTTTAATATAGTTTTATATCAGTGTTTATATTGGCTGTTTGAGAACGCAGCTCCTCACACTTGCACATGTGTCATCAGAGGACATTCTAAAGTTGGTGTTTGTTAGCACCCATCTACACTTGGGACGATTAACTTCTTACCTTGTCAAAGTTGTTTCAAACACATCTCATTGACAATTTAGTGTGCCTGCAGTGCAAAATACAGGCCATGTGACCTGGCATCACAACATGGACCACAGATATCAGACAATAAAGACCATCAGGGAACTTAAGTTAGCAGTGACTAGCCTGTAAGTAAGCCCTGACTGTGGCGCAGCAGTAACATGAACCTGGTGTTTCTGTGGTGAAAAACAACTGATGTTGAACTCATCTGTGCGATGATGCATATTATTATTTATAGCTGATGTTATTAACAGTATTTGCTTTTGCCACAATCTCTAAACCTGCTGAATTTCACCAATTTGAATTAAAATGCAGCTTTTCAGCCGGCTCTGTAATGTGCAGCGTCTGTGTGATTGGAATAATTTGCTTGTTACACAATGATAAGCTGATGTCAACAAACCAGATGAGTCTCCCCTGTGTTTCTGATGAAGAAATATTGTGTTAACACACATTGTCAACCCCCACAACCAGACTGTGTTCTGTATGATGTGACATTCTGACCAGTTACACCAATGAGATGACCAGTGCGTGTCGATCTGCGCAGGATGGTCTCTCATGTTCTTTCTCTCTGTCTGTCCTTCACATTGTGCAGTCGTTTGTAAAACTGCTCAGATATTTGCTTAAATTCACAAGCAGCAAATGTCAGTCTACACAACGAGACACGCTTCATGTGTAGATGGGAGGGTAAAAGGCAAAGTTGTGGGTTTGGAACACAGATCATAAACTCAGTTCACCATGTGATTTGTGTATATAAAGCTGGGCTGATAGTGCATTTCTGTTAATCCTGTGCACTGCTTGCTCTAATCAGTTTTTCTGATTGCCTTAAACTCAGATGCTCATACTAGAGACAAACAGGCAGTGTTACTTCTTGTCTTTCTGCTTTGAAAGGAAGGCAAGAAGAAAAAAGGAGAATGCATCTGTTTTGCATCAAAGTTCAGTTTTATTTCTGTCACAGCTCAGCCTCAGCCCGGTCTGCAGTTTGGACTACAGCATTCAACATGCTACTCCCCTAATATTCAAACCAGCTCGCTATAGTTTATAACAGATCTTCTGACAACTGCCATGAAGTTTGGCCCCATTAGGAGACTGGCCTGATGAGCACAGTGTCTACTCAGTTTGATAAATGCACAAGGTTTTTTCTCCACAAACCCTAGATACCACTCTGTGACAGAAACAGTAGATGCTGCTTGACTTTCACTTTTGTTTTAAATGCTTTACATATATGTTAGAGTAATCCATTTAGCTGCCTCTTACATTGAAAGAGCCACTGTTCTTCAATAACACCTCTGATTAGTTGACTACTATGAGAAGTCCAAACAACAGTTGCAAAAATGTCTGTTACAGGGCTGATGTTTGGTAGCTCCCAGTTGTGGCCAGTAGGTGTCATTGTGATGTGTGTTTTTCTGGCTGTCTCTTCTTCTGCAGAAACTGGTTGCCCAGATGAAGCAGGACCCTCAGGTAAGTCAGCACGTTTATGTTGATCAGGTTACATTTGTTTTACTCACAGCTGTATCGCTGAATGTTCTGAGAAACAGCACAGTGAGTTTACATGAGAGGGAATAAATGCATGAAAAAGAATCAGATTTACAAGGATGTGGTTTGGCACTGACTGAATGTCTCTGGTTCTCAGAACGCAGATCTGAAGAAGCAGCTCCACGAACTACAAGCAAAGATCACAGCACTGAGTGAGAAGCAGGTACAGGATTTAACACACACACACACACACACACATGTTGTCTGCTGTCTGCAGAACGGAAGACACTTCAGAGGTAAAACAAGGAAATGACTGGTTTAAAGTTAGCATTTTTTTCAGGTCTGCCTTAAAATAAAACAAAAGCAAACACATCCGGCAGGAACACTGACACTACGGCATCACTGTTCAGCCCCTTTGTCCTCAGTTGTTGCCATCATTCAAAAGCCACACTGATATTAATTCTGGTTTTACTTCTTTCAGCATCCAACTTCGTTTTAGTTGTAACTTTATCGTTTAGGTATAGTTACCTGCCCAGATCTGTTGCAAACAAAAGCTGCTGTGGGAACCTTCTCTGCCATAGCTTGCTAGTTTTAGCTGTGAAACAGAGTGGTAACATGTCTGTCTGCAACTGCAACGCATTGTGGGAAACACCTGGCTTGTGCAAGGCAGGCAGGGTGCACTCAAGCAGGACGTTAGATTGACAGGCAGGTAGGCCATCCAGTGGTTTTGCCTTTGCCGAGTAAAATTATTGCTCAAGTTTTTTGCAGCCCTGCTGCTGCCACAGATGGCAGAATTGTTTCTTTATGTTGTCAGTGCATTTGATGTGTTCATTGCCATTGGGATGAAAGGAGAAAGTCAAGAAATGTAAAAAAAAAATGCTTCTGGAAGGAAACGCCAACCCTCCCTTTAACAGGGATCGTTGTCAGGTTTGTTTAAACCCATTCATTTTGCACAGGCGACGCTGTCAGCACCTAAATGTGGACGGATGTGTATTGTTACACTTCAAGTCTATTGTCTTCCATTTTACGAGCTCTGGGTGCTGCTAAAACCCTGTACTGTGCCTGAACAGTGTGGACACAGACGGACAACTGAAGCTGCTGCTCTGCTAATGTCCTGCTTTCACTATGGGGCAGGAAAAAAGCATTAGTGAAAATGTATTACTAAAAACATGAAATGAATTAGTTTTCATTCCCTCTGCTGCAGCTCTGCCAGGAAACACTCCAGCTAAACTCTGAAATGCTTTTTTCAGGGGATCTGCAGGTCTTGAAATGTCTTAAAAAGCAGCTCACTTAGAAAAAAGGGCTTAGAAGGTTTTCCAAAGTCTGGAGCACACAGGAAATGGAGAGGCTTGTTCTCTGTGCTCTGGGACAATTAACAGGATGGACTGACCAGACTGAGTTTGACTCCTGTTACTGTAGTATTTTGATGCTCTCCAGTGTGAACCCACCACACTCTGAAAATCAGCTTATGATAAACTATGAATTTGTGCTGACTGATCACACCAGCTGGTTTTCTGTCATTGTCTGTATGACAATGTGAAAAGGGGCTTCATTTTCTTAAGTCTTTAAAAGCCTTAAATTTGACAAAGGCTGCAGAGACCCTGATTTGGACACAGAACGAGGACTGTTGCTTTGTGTCCCACCGGTGAAACTGAATTGCATTAAGAAAGATCTTTGCAGTTGGTATGGACAGAAGGAACTTTGAGCAATCATGCACATACATTATGGGCTTGACTTGGGAAAAAGAATGTGTATGTGTCCTTTAAGAAGCTCTGAACCAGCCAGTTAACCACAGTGTTTGTGTTCAGACATCCGGTCAGTCCAGACCACCCTGCCTGATGGTGTTGCCTCATGTCACAAGAATCTTCTGATTGTGTGCTCCTAAAACTTTTGTTGTTGCCCATGTACTGTTTTTATTTTTAACCACTGTCAGTGTGCATCCTATTTTTATCTCCTGCCTGCATATTTGACTTGCTAAACAGCACTTTGTGGAATTAGAACAACTAGTCGTCAAATGAGAATTAGTGCCTTTAAAGCTAGTTTTCACAACACTAATAGTTGTTATGAGTTGTGCAGGTAGGCAAATGTATTTAAATAGCACATGTTCATGCACAAAGGCAATTCATGTTCATGCACAAAGCCAATTCAAACACAATGCACACTTAAAATGCATATACAGATAAAACATTAGAATGCAAATTAGATTCATTAGCATTTACTGTTTTAAAGTAAATGCAAATTAAAGCAACAATTTCATGACAGTACAAAGTAGCAGCATTCATGAGTAAATACCTAGCACTGTTGGATAGCTGTGGCAGGCTGTGGCTTCTCACTGCTCTCAGTATACTTCGTACCCCTTTACTTCAGTCTTCTCCAGAGTAACCTCTGACTACTTTAACACTGATGGAAGCGTTTGTCTCTGGGTGTTGTTTGCGGCGAGTACATGAGATAGATTTTGGGTGAAAATAGAAAGCTGGGTTTGTATTTGTGCATCTTTCTGCTTTCATAATGTCAAACAAGGTGTTTTCAGCGTGTCACTGCAACTGGGTCTCAGCACCAAATTACACAGACACACTGTTGTGACTGCCAACTCCAGTCTGGTGGTGTTAACACGCAAATGAAATGCAAGCAGCAGAATAATGTTAATGGCAGAATGTCTTCTTCACTGTGAGTAGTTTGTGATTTGATAGGACCACCGCCTGAGGCTGTGATGGTTCTTTGACTTAGTTGTATTTTAATATACACCAGAATTATGGAGGGTTGGCAGCAGGTTCACAGCTCAGGTCTTTGTTCAGAACCACTCTTATTTGTTCTTTGAGAGCTAGGTGCTTAGACGGACTGGAGGCCGGAGGAAACGACCAGTCACACTGTACTTGGGGTACTGCACAAATATTACAGGCAACTCAAACTAAAAACCTCTGCAAATAAAGCTTTTAATTATCTGTGTGGCTCCACCAGAGAGTGAGTAGGAATGATATGTCCATCCATCCACACATTCATTCTCTGCTACCGCTGGACCGTAGGGACAGCAGGTTCAGTAGGGTGGCAAAGACGTCCCTCAGGGGACAGCAACATCCTCCTGGTGGACCCTGAGGTGTTCCCAGGCTAAATGGGATGCACAGTCCCTCCAGCCTGAGTTTGGAGTGCCCCGAAAAGCTCCAATGGGAGGTGCCCAGCAGGTATCCTGATCCCGAACCGCCTCAGCTGGCCCCTTTGATCCAAAGGAGTGGCGGCTCTACTCCGAGCTCCCTCTGGATGGCTGAACTCCACACTCTGTCTCTAAGGCTGAGTTCAGCCACCCTACAGAGGAAACTCATTACAGCTTCTTGTGTTCAGAATCTCATTCTTTTGGTCACTGCCCACACCTCGTGACCACAGCTGAGGGTTGGTTTTAGAGCTTTGCCTTCTGGCTCAGCCTCTCTTCCCCACACTGGTCCGGTACGGCATTACTGTGGATGCCGCACCAATCCACGCTCCATTTTACCTTCACTCGTGAACAAGACAACTTGATGACGGAAGAGATGATTTTCATGCTTTGGATGATGCTTTAAAAACAGTCACCGCCCTGGTCAGGGAGTCAGCAGAGTAATCCCGTGTGGTACTGGAGCCCCTGAGCAGCGGCTATGAGCAGGCAGAGCCGTGCACACTGTGGCTGCAGACTGCAGGTCAAGCTGCTCTCTCTGCTCAGGCTGGTGTCTCTTCAGGTCTCTTCATGACTGTGTGTCGCTGCATTAAGTTGCTGCTCGAGAGTCAAGTGTTGCCAAGCAACAGATGTTTTTAACTTTTGATTCATACTCGTATGTCAGCTCCAGCTCTGTGTGTGTGTGTGTGTGTATGTGTGTGTACTTACTGTCTGTGTGAGACCCTTTGTTGTCTACAGTACAGTGTGTAGTCTGGCCTGTTTCTCCTTCTTATTATCTCCACTCTCATCATGAGTTAGTGCTGCGGTGTGTCAGCCAAGCAGATCAAAGCAGTGATTGTAGCTGGGTTGAGTGTTACAGCTGCAACACTTGCTGATTATTGGCCCTTTCAGATGAGTATCTCCTGCTGTGGATGTGTCAGGAGCTCAGTCCTGCTTCCTCCCCAGCTTTATGTTTGTCTTTAACAAAAAAGCTGATGCAGCAGTTACACCGGAGCAGTTATGATCATATAAGCCTTCAAAATATGGATTTGTCAGTGTTGCAGCATATGGAAATGTATTTATGTAACAACATGAGAGATTGGACTTTCTGCAGAGCTTCCACAACATGCATCAGACCTGCCAAAATCAAAACACCTACAAAATATCAACAATGGAGACTTTTTTTTATTTATTGCTAAATCAAGGCACAGTCATTAGCCCCAGTCCCAGGCCCCACTAGGAAACTTAAAAAGGTGTCTTGTATTTAGTACATTTAAGTAAGTAAGTAAGTAGAGTTCATTTATAAAGCACTTTTCTAGATCAATAATCATAAAGTGCCTCACACAAAAGGAAAAAATACAACTATAGGCTATATCCTATAAAACAGCAATATCATCATAAAAACTACAACAGAATAAGAGCACTACAAAAATAACAATACAATGAGATCACTACATAAAAGCCATTTGAAAAATATGGGTCTTGAGCTACTTTTAAAAATTGTCCACAGATGTAAAGTCCACAGGCAGAGAGTTCCAGAGTTTAGGAGCCGCAACTTCACATTCACCTTAGGTTTTAAGTCTGGAGCGAGGAGCAGCCAACACATCATCAATCATGTACAGGCAAAACTGGATGGGACCCAAAACAGAACCCTGTGGTACACCATGCAGCTGAGGTGCAGATGAAGAAGTGTGGTAACCAATGACTCCTGAACATGTATTCTCAGAAAGGTTGGATAAGTCTCTCAGTAGGATACTGTGGTCCGCAGTGTCAAAAGCTGCACTGAGAAAAAAACATTCCTCAGTCCCTCAACTGTCGACATGTAGGCCTAAAAGTATGAATGCTGTCTTTTAAATATAAAAGGAGAAGTCTGGTGATCTATATTTTTCTCTTCTATGCACAGCGAACGTCTACTACTAAGTCCTGACATGTCTCCTTCCCCTGTGCCACAGAGCTCCACTGTTGTCCAGAAACTGTTAAAACCTCCCAAAAATATTTGAAATAAGGCAGTTGCAAAACGTCAAAGATCTGTCATCTGAAAAAAGATGAAGAACTGCACCAGATCACCAGAAGCAACACATTTCAACTGTAGCAGACTGTGCTAACAAACCCCTGTTGAAGTTTGCTTATGTCATATTGGTCCCCTTGTTGTATTTATATAAAGGCTTGTAAATTAAAAAAGGAGAAGTGTTCCAGACTGCCTCTCTTCTCTACACTATTTCTGGAACTGATCAGAGACAGATCAGAATCAGGATCAGCTTTATTGGCCAGGTGTGTTGGACACACGAGGAGTTTGTCTCTGGTACAGCAGCTCTCAGTGTGTATGTACAATGTCCTTCTGTAAAGCAGCGAATAGACAAGTAAAGTACATAAGGCTGAGAGAACAAAAAGGAAAGAAAAAGAATATGCAAACAAGAAAAAGGAATGTGCAATAGGAAAAAATTAAAAAGTACTTATAAACAGAGAATTATACACTGCTCAAAAAATATAAAGGGAACACAAAAATAAGACATTCAACTATGTTGTGTTCCCTTTATTTTTTGAGCAGTATATATACACACAGTATAGATGCATTTTCCAGATCAACATATACAAAGGCATATTTACAGGTACTGCACTGAGGGTTGGCGTCCTGTTATAGTCAATGGGTTAAACTGTTGATCAGTGTAATGGCCCGGGGGAACCGTGTACGTATATATAGTTCTCTATTTATAAGTACAGATGATGGACACAGGTTCGAGATGAACACAGAGACTGTTCAGCCACAGAGATCCTGCAGCTGTAAACAATGTGGTCCTACTTTGTCTCCTCTCTCCTTCCTTCTTCAGAAAAAAGTGGTGGAGCAGCTGAGGAAGGAGCTGTTGGTGAAGCAGGAGCCAGAGGCCAAACTGCAGCTGCAGGTCCAAACTCCTCCAGCAGGAGGAGACATCAAGCCTGCCAACCTGCTGCAAAGTCAGCAGATACCTGGGGGTCTGCAGCAGGTGAGAAACACACACACACACACACACACACAGTTTATATAGGAAATAAGGAACCTAGACAGCATAATAAATCAAAAGGGCAGGAGTTGCATTTTCATATAAAACAGTTGCCTCTCTTTCAGTGTAATTAAGACCCAGTACATTTATACTGTACTACTGTCAACCTGATTAAGTTTCTTATACCTTATGAGTTACATTCAATCACTTACTTTGGTGCGTTTTGTGCAGTTCATTGTTTACAAGGAAAGAATGTTCTTTTAATTATGGAAAGACTTGTAGAAACTACAAAATCCAGCTGATTAGAAATGTACATAACTTCCACAGAGGAAGTGGCAACAGGAAGTGATGTTATAACTGTAAATAAGTTTTATTTCAATTCTGTTCCTGTAGACATCATTCAATATTTCCATCCACTAACTGCAGGTGTAACTGCTGTGTATCTAATGTTAGCTTGCTAACAAGTGATCTGTTTAGAGTATAAGAGGTAATATGGAAAATGGTCCACACAGCTGACCTGGCTATTGAATAAGTTGATTTCTAATAGTGTAAAGACATTTCACAGACATCTCAAAACATCAGTAATGTCTGCTGACCAAATAATATTGGTTAGTTTGCATAATCACTTAGATATGTGTGAATGATAGCTACAGTTACAGCTGATTTGGAATTACTTTAATATCACTTGGCCCCTAAAACATCTCGTTGTGGAAGTTATGCTAAGTGTGTGATGCATGCCGGTTTACATATTTTATATAACTGATTGCTGGTACTTTGAGCAGTCAGTGTTTCCTGTATTACTAAAGTCCTGACTTTCCTTGAGTTTAAATGGGGTGAACTGGTTAATAAATCAGCAGTTTGAAACTATCTGGAGGTTAATAGTGGACTTGTAAATAGCCTGACACATTACCTCACCAGGCAGAAAAACTATACCTGTCAGCTATCAGTAAATATTTTGATTTATGTTTCCTGATCCTGGCACAATCAAGAATGCTACGATGCATGACATCCTTACTGCGCAGCTCAAAGTGTCTGCGCTTGCATGAGGCATGTTCAGGGCTAACTGTACATCATGAATTACTGGTGAAGACGTTGTAAAACCCAGATAAGCATCAGAGTGGCTCCTTCTTTCTCATGGGTTAAACTCTTCCTCCACAGACCCTGACAGTCACGCCGGTCCTCACCACGAAGACTCTACCTCTGGTGCTGAAAGCCGCCACGCCCACCCTGCCCACCTCTGTCCTGCCTCCACGCCCACCCACTGTCACTATGGTAACCACAGCTATTACCAAACCCGACTCGCAGAACACCCCCATCAACCTGCAGGTGGCCAGCAAGCTGACCAATCAGAGCTCGGAGCCTGTGCGGCTTGTGTCCAAGAACGCCATGGTGGTAAGATCCTCTGGTTCCCGCCACGGTCCAGTCATATGTCATCGCTTTCTCAGATCTGACTCACTGAACAGTGATCAGGAGAGCTACTGAATGTAGACCAGCAGAGTGTAGACCTGCTTGGGTTTAAACAGACTTCAGAGGGTTTAGACAATTAACAAGCGCCCCTGCTCTAAGTGAAGGATGTTTCTCTAATCACATGGCAAGTGCTCGAGCTGGCTGTGGTGTGAGTGGTGGCCTTTTAGCAGCCAAACTGGCAGCACCAGAATCAGTCCTCTGAGCAGTCAGATAGTCTGGCCCATAAAGTTGTCAGAACAAGAACAGTAGTAGACCTGTAGATACAGGAGATGTAAACTATCAGAGGACGTGTCAGTGTAACAGCAGCACAGATCCACAATCTGCTGTGGTTTTGTCTCAGGTGCAGGCCACCACCACCGCCCAGCCAATCAAAGTTCCTCAGTTTGTCCCTCCTCCTAGACTGACGCCTCGACCCACCTTTCAGCCACAGGTGCGTCCTTGTAAGACCCGCATCCCAACCCTAACCCCTCAGATCAGTGTGTGTGACCCACCTGAGGTGACTCGTTCACTCTCCAGCAGAGGGCAGGAGTGCACCAAAGCAAACACTCATGCCTTGCTCTGTGGCACTAAAACATTGTTTGCTCTGGGCTGCCTCTACTCATCTTTTCTCCTCTTGTTGTGCTTTTTTTAATTTTCCAACTAACCTGTGAACAGGTGTTTTTCGAGGTTTCCTGCCTGTGTACATGTGTGAGTGTGTGTTTGTTGACCTTCTGTGGTGAGAGCTTGTTTTTCTGCAGCTTCTTGATATTTTGTGTTCCTGGCTGTTGGTGTGTTTTAACCCTTTAACTGGAAACCAGTGACGTTTGCCTGTGCTGGGTAATGACACTGGGAGCTCCGGCTGGTGTACTTGTAGTAGTAGCAGTAGAAGTATTAGCAGTCAGTTCAATTGTATTACAACCCAACATGACAGATCATAAATGTAACATTTGTACAACATCAAGCTCCTTAGAACATGGGTTCAGATGAGCAAGAACGTAACACAAAACCCCGTTAAAGGGTGCAGCTGGTGACTCTGTATGTTTGTGATACTTTCCCCAAACCCCATCCAGACCCTAACAGCAACAGTGAATGTGGTGTACTCACTGCAATGTGTGTGAATCCAGTCCGTGGGCCTCCGCTGTCCACCAAGCCGTCATTTTGTACAGTGTCTGATGGAAGACAGAGTCACTGACCTCTGCTCTGTTCACATGGCTCCACTAGCTTCTTGCGCTGTGCAGAACAATGTGGTGGAGCTGTTTGAGCAGTAGTTTTACTAGCAGCAACATCAGTAGTTGTAGGAGTAGTACCAGTAATAGTAGCAGTAGTAGCAGTAGTACCAGTAGCGTCAGTATTAGTATCAGTAGTAATGCTACCAGCAGTAGAATGGTTCAGGCTGAGTCAGATCTCCCCAGCCGTGTTACCCAGCACTCTTGTGTCATTTGGCAACTTTCTCTGCCCCCCCCCCCGCCCATGATGGCAGCCCCCCAGCTGCTGCAGAGGCCCGTCATGTTAGCCACCAAGCTGTCGTCCGCGCTGCCCTCGGCGGCCCCCATCCACCAGGTCCGCATCGTAAATGGACAGCCCTGCAGCAAGACTGGCTCCGCTCCACTGACGGGCATCGTTATCACCACACCAGTCTCCACTGCACCCACCCGCCTCACCAGCCCCGCCCAGGCACCTAACCCCACCCCCATCCCCACACCGACTCCTGCCCAGCCGATACAGATCAGCAGCGTGACCACTGAGCCCAAGGTAAGATTACTACCTGAGTACTGTGATTGCACTGTCCTGATCAAATGTTTTTTGACCCTGATTTGGATCCGAGTCTTGTAGTACTACTGCTACTGATTGAGGAATGCAGACGAATACTATCTACAGATCTAACAAAGCAGACAACTATCAGCAGTAGCTCATTTATTCATTTATTAGCAGTTCTAGACAAAGCTGGGAACACTCCTCCATGGTGCACTCTTTCAACTAAATTGACTAAAAGTAGACGGCACTCAAAGACCAAACCTCTGCCAAGCCCCCATAATGCCGTTGCACCTGAAAGCAGCATTCCCATGGTAGCATGACCCTCAGCTACACACACAGGAGCAGGGCAGACAGGAGGGTGAAGTCTGTGCTTTGACTGCACCTACAGTCAGGTCCATAAATATTGGGACATCGACACAATTCTAACATTTTTGGCTCTATACACCACCACAATGGATTTGAAATGAAACGAACAAGATGTGCTTTAACTGCAGACTGTCAGCTTTAATTTGAGGGTATTTACATCCAAATCAGGTGAACGGTGTAGGAATTACAACAGTTTGCATATGTGCCTCCCACTTGTTAAGGGACCAAAAGTAATGG